CAGCAGGCTTGGCAGCATTTTTCCAGTAGGAAAGACAAGCTTCCCTTTCTTCCTACAGTAACCAAGGTGCCTGCCCCACCCTTACCCTCACATCTCATCCTCGCTGGTGACAGCACATTTTTGGATGAGTTGACATCATATCCATCGAGAAATTGTTTGCCATTTTTCTGGGAGATGTTACTCCTGGCCCCTTCCCAGGGCTGCTCACCTGTCTTCCCCTTGGTGCAATTAACCCATGACAATGCAAGGAAAATTCTAAAGGTTTAGAGAAAGCAAGTCAATGGTCAGGGTCCCAGGGTCCATTTTCCAGAGCAACATCCCCTAATAGTCCCATGCTTCAGGCCTGCCTGAGACATAGTCCTAAACCACTGGGCCTTGGAGTTCTCTCTGTATTTATCCATTCATTCGCAACTTCATTCTCTAAGAGAGCCTTCTTGAGCATTTCCCAAATTATCCAAAAAGATCAGCATGTTTATGGTTGGAAGCCACCTATTTTTCTTGATCACAAAATTAAAAGCGCCTTCTAAACAAGAAAGTGAAAGCCCCAGCTGAAATGTCACATATACGGTTTAATCAGAAAACAAAATAAAAACTCCTCTGGGTCCCCTTCACTTGGTCCAAACAAGGCATTATCTGGAATGACAACGTGGCAGAACATTGCTGGGCAGCACTCAGCACAAGCTCTCGGTTAGCCCTATGGTGACAAATGCATCGTCATTCCCACTCGAAGTTTATTAACGAGAACTGACACCAAGCAGTTTCTACAAGACAGGATTTCTTCTCAATAGCTCATTGTGGGACTTGTCAGCCTCAGCACTCAGCACTCAGCCAGTTTGGAAAATGCTTTGCTGTAGGGCCTTGTCCTGTGCATTATAGGAAATTCCACAGCCTTTCTGGTCTCCCCCAGCTAGATGCCAAGAGCTCATGCCCCACAATTAGGACAATGAAAAACTGTCCCAGACATGGCCACATACCCCCCCTCAGGGACAAAATAGTCCCTTTCCCCATTGAGAGCCACCACCTTATATTAATTAATTTTATAATTCTTGCAAAAAATTCCTGTGAATTTGATAGTCTTACCTCTCCTATTTGCAGGGGAAGAAACCAAAGGTTGGGTAAACTCCACAATTTTACACAACCAAACTCAGTTCAGAGCTCAGGAATCCAACTCCAGGGCGCTTGGCTCTCAACAACTCTGCTGAATCCCCTCTAAATTCCAGACCCACCTACTGCCCGGCATCAACAAAATCCTCAGAAGAGCCGGTAATTTTCCTGGCACTGCTGTAGTCTTAGGACCAGTATGCCTTTTCCTGAGGTTATGCAGTAAAAAGAAAGAAAAATGTTAAATTCCACCCCTTTTAGGTTTGTCTTCATGTGTGAAACTGTTTTTCAGGCCATGTCAGCTTGGAAGTTGCTATAAAGTTTCAAAAGCCATCACAAAACAAAATTTCTGTGCCTTCTTCTCAGTTCATTGTGGAATTCCAATTTCCACCTTTAAGCTCCTTCCCAAATCTTCAGGTTCTGATGCAATCTGGGACCCCAGCTGGAGCCAACGCCACGGAGCCTTACGGGGTGCTGTTGATCAATATCCCTGCATTGGCTCAGTTCAGCCTCATAACAAGAATTTTACCCATTTTACTCTCGAGGGAACTGCAACTTGCCTAAGGTCGTCCTCCTTATTATTGACAAAGCTGAGCTCTGAAAGTCAAAGCCTGTGCTTTTAACCACTAAGATGAACTGTCCCCTTGGCCACCTGGGGTGCCACCAATCTTCATGGTGAAAGCATGGTTTCTCACAGCAGCGGCCGCAAGCAGCACAATGAGGATGACGGCCATGGCCATAGAAGACACAGCATCACACAGATGGCTCATCTCATGCCATCGTCAGTGTCACTGGTGCCAAGACCTCAAGCACCTCCCAGTGTCCCAAGAGGGATGCAGGAAACAGCTTGTTTTGTCTTTTCCTCTTCTTTCAGTGTCTCGCTTTAAAAGTCAGGTGTGAGCCCATAGGGGTAAAGGAGAAGGAAAAGGTCAGTGACAAACAGAGCTAGACTCAGTAAGCCTCCCCTCCATCATCTATCCTTTGTTCTTACATCAAACTGTGCCTCTTGACTCTCTCTTCTCTCAGGATCAGGCTTTCCTCTTTCATTCTCTCAGCCAGTACTTACTTAATATCTTCCATGCCAGCCAGTCCACTAGGCACTGGGAAAAGAATAATGAGCAAAGACAGATGTGGTGTCTGCCTGCTTCATAGAGCTTGCAGTTTGTGGAGGAGACAACCATTGATCTAATAATCACATAAATAGATTCAAAATGACGGCTATTTAACCATGGAGGAAAAGTGCATGATGATACAAGATTACATAATTACAGTGGGGCCTAACCTGGTCTGCGGGTTGGGGAAGGCTTGGCTGATGCACTGATATTGAATTGAAACATAAAGAGCTGAAGGATGAATAGGCGGGAGGAGCAGTAACCCGCTCAGAGGGAGACGGAGGACCAACGGCTGGAGAGTGTTTCAGGTAAGGGACGGCACGCAGGCCGTGAAGTGGACGAGCAGCCGAGTGTGCCCACACTACCCAAGGGAGGCCACGGGCGCTGGCCTGCAGAGGGAGTCTGACACAAGCAAGGTCCAAAATGGCAGGACCTCACGGGCATGTTTAGGGTTTGGGACTTTTTCCTAGGGATATAGCTTTAAGCAGGAGGGGACAGGAACCTATTTGCATTTTGAAACCACTGAAAGAGTCGCAGGAAGGATGGATGGCGGGAGTGAACTCTCTGCAGAACAGCGGTAAGTGGTCAGCAGCCCCTCCCCTGAAGCAGATACTGCTGATTGCCTACCCAACAGCTGTATCCCCCTGCCTGCTTTTCACAGGATTCTTTTTTTTCCAGGTGATTATTATTCACCTTCTCAGACTCCCTTTTAGCCTAGGGACCGGTTCTGGCCAATCCTACTTTATAAATAGAACTCTGTAAAAAAAGCGTCAGGTACAGCTAATATGCCCTTTGTTTCTTTATTTTACACCTGCTCCTTCACTGGATGTAGAAGCTAAGTCCGCAGGTAGCAACCAACCCTCTTGGAGCCATGAGAAATAAAGACAATTTAAGGATGAGGAGCAGAAGCAGGCCGGACTACACAGTGAGGCACAGACTATCCATTCCCAGACTTGTTGTTGCATAAGACAAGTGCAGGGTTCTCTGCTGCAGCAGAGTCCAACCCTTACTTCCACCACTAACTCCTCAGATACCTCCTACATGCCTGAATTCTAAAGTGAACACTACCTCCTGTCTTTCTCCACATGTGTTCCAAGATCACCTGCATCAGCATCTCCTGGAGCAGGGGTTAAAACTGCAGAGCTTCTCAGTCAGATGATCAAAGCAAACACTGTCATAGTAAGTCATGATGTGACGGGAATGGCATTTTACCTCTGGGGTCATCCTCCAGCTTAATCACAAGAAAAATACCAAATAAATCCCAACTGAGGTGCATTTTACAAAATACTTCACCAGCACTCCTCAAAAACAAGGGATGCCCAAGAAATAGTCACGCTCAAGGCATCACAACTAAATGTAATGCGGCGTCCTGGAAGGGGTCCTGGGACAGAAATGGAGGCTCAGGTAAAAACTAATGAAGTGTGGATAAAGTATGGACTTCAGCTGATACTGATGTATTAATTGTGGTTCACTAGATGTGATAGATCTATCATACTTGTGTAAGATGTTTTTAAGATGGGAAACGGGGAGTGGGGGCATAAGGAAAGTTTCTGTACTAGCTTTATATATTTTTCTGTAAATCGAAAACTATTCTAAGATGAAAAATCTATTAAAATGAAAATTTCATCTCTATGCTAGTCCTACAGAATCATACTATCTTGAATGAGACCCACACACCTGAATATTTAACAGGACCCTCAAGTTTGAAAACTAGTTTAGGCCTAAATGGACCCCAGGCTATGTTTGAAAGACCTTTCAGGCCACCTGCTCAACTACCCACAAAGAAAGATGCAGACCCTTCAACACAGAGGGATGTTCAGGATATCTAAAGAGTGAATGTTCAGCTTCTGGAACAAAGCAGACAATTCCTTTGTTGTGTGTATTTTGCCAACACCAAATGGTCTTTGATAGAAATCATCAGTTCAATGTTTTGCCCCAAAATTGGATTTGAACCTCTGCAGTAAAGATGTTAATAGGTAATCTCTAATAAAATCTCTGGACTCCACTTGTGTCCTTTTGATCTTAATAAAGTGAAACATGGTGATTCAATTTTCCTTACTTCTTGTCTCCCACTATTTACCACCATATCTCTTGGAGTAAAAGTAACAAAGCCAACATTTATAAAGGTTTTCTGCTGTTCTAAGGAAAATTTTCATCAGACTTGAAAAAGCAAAATAATTATTTTCTGTAATGGATTTCTGACATAAATATATGGAAATGCAGCCATTCATTAGCTGATTTCAACTACATCAGGGTCAAATTACATTGCAAAATGTAGTAATACATGCAGCCTCCGAAGAAGACAGAATGGGGAAATGGAAGAAAATTGATCAGAGACCCAGGTAGTAGAGTGTTGCAAATACCCGACAGTTATGTGTAACTTTGGAAAAGTAATCTGAACTCAATTTCCACATTAGCAAAATGAGCAATTTGGAATAAATGACTTGTAAGATCTTTCTGAGCTCTGCAATTTTGACTCTGTAATCTCAAAGCTAGGAGTTAGTCTTACAACTAATACCCAGCATTAAGGCTTTTATTTGTAAACTCAAAATAACTCATAACTAATAATTCAGTAACTAATTATAAAAATACAGGTGTAAAACTTTAGCAGTCTTAATCCTTGAGAATTATATCCCACAAAGTTAATTAAGGAGACCCAGCCAGTATCAAAGGCTATTTAAAGATGCCTTTCAATTCATTTTGCCTCTGTTATGGATGCTGCCATGTGAGACCCAAGGATGAAAGCTGACGACTAGTAGAGAAAAGAAAAGCCCAATAAAACAGATGTTTTAGATGTGAAGCAGGTGTTGATGTTTATTTATACCTGGCTGTTGCATAGATTGACATTGTTAAACTTTTAAACAGGAGTCTCCCCTTAGACAAAGGACAAAGGAAATGAATAGGTAAGTCACAAAAGAACTAAAAGTAGTAAACAAGTATATGGAGTAATATTCACCCTAATAGACATATGTGCAAATTAAATCAACAAAGAGGTACCTTTTCTTCCTAGTATATATCCCAATGATGACAAAGATATGGTGAAACTATGTTTTCATATATCACTGCTAGAAAGAGCATAAACTGGTACAAACCTTTTGAAAAATATTTGATGATGTACATAAAGAATTATTTAAATATTCATGCACTTTGATTCTGCAATCCCACTAAGAATGCAGAACAGAGCAATATGCAGTGATGTTCATTGCAGAGAAAAATTGGAAATGACCTCTAAATAGGTGAGAGATGGCAAAATTTGTTATATCTGTTCAATTTAATATTGTGCCACTTTTAAAAATGATGCCCTCAGAGGCTCTTTAGTAACAGAAAATGCTTACAAACTGCGAGATGTGGTAAACTGTCAGTTCATATATATATCTTTGGCTAACAAGATGTTTTTAAAATTTACCTCAAACTGTTTGTTTGGATCTTGTCAAAAAATCAAAACAACTGACAAAACTGAGCCTTTTTGCTTAACAAAAACTCGTTGGAGCTGAGTAATAACTGTTCCCTTCAGTATAAGGCATACATAATCCCCTTTGATACACAGTCCCTACCCGGTGACCCTTGGAAACATTTGAGTTTATAACCCCTGACCTAAATGTAATTATCAGGACATAAAATTGTATATATAAATGTTAAATATGCACATGAAAGAGAGTAAAACCTCCCAAAGTGTTATGATGGTTGTATTAGAACTTTAGTACTATGGTTGACTATTCTATTATAAAATTTTCTGCATGACGTTCATATTTTAAAATGGACTAGAAATCGAATGAGACCTTTCATCAAATGTCCAGTCTTTTAGAAAATAGTAGTGATCTCAGCTACTAGAAGAGGAAGGTGAAGGCCATTTGTCTCCTTCCCCATAATCTTGCAACTGGATGATATGAAAGCAAATCTTAGCCCCAATTCTTCTAAACATATGACACTTCTTAGCCAGGAATTATGTATTTGCTTCCTATAATCCCAGAGAAGTCACCCTTTCTTTTCTCAGGACCCACCCCACTTAAAATGAAAGTTAGAAAGCAACCAGAGTGAAAGTTTCATTCAGACACAATATTCTGATAACCAAACTGGACACCATAGTGTCAGGTCTGTGAAGCAGGTAGACAAAGGACAAATGGGCTGCAGGCCTTGAGCACTGCTGACCTGAACACATTTGTAACACCTGCTTCCAAAAATGATGGAGGCCAGTGTCTGTCTAGATAACCACTTATCTCAACTACTACTCATTTCATAACTGGGAAACAAGTCCAAACATCAAGAAATGAATGGTGGTTCTGCCAAGTCCCTAATATATTCAGCCCAATAATTTATTCTGGAAGTGGGAAGATGACCATTGGTAGATCCATGGACTCAATGGATCTACTGTGAGTTAGACCTGGCATAGGACTTCCTTTATTTTATGAATCCCTCATGCCCCCATCCTAAAAGTCCCACTATAATGAACCTCTTGTCCTGGAGTATTAGGGTCAACTTGGACCTTGTGTCCCACATCCTCTGAGTGTCTTTATACACTCTTTTCCCCACTGTACAGGCATCCAAGTAAATGACTATAGATCCTTTTGAGAAAGCGGTAAAGGAGTCATTGCCATATTCATTTGCAGTGATGTCACAAAGTTTTCCTTCTTGGGGATCCAGTCTTTCCTTCAGTCAGTGGTTTTTGGTTCTGGAAAATAGCGAAGCTCTGGAAACTTGGCAAGACGTCATAACTTTTTATTAAGGCGGCTGTGCCCTACCTATATCCTGATCATTCATCTTTGAAATCTTTTGATGGCATAGCTTGAACAATACTTTTATTGGGTACTCATCTATTTTGCCCTAGGGATGCCATGTTCTTTTACCCATCTCCACCTTTCTCTGCAAGTACCCCTCAGACTTGACCACTCATTATGATCACCGTACCCACTATGCTCTGACAGGGAGCACCGGACTTTCTTCCATCCCTATCACCATCAGTGAACCCGCTTCAGGGACAGCATGTGGCCTACAGGGCTACTACTAGGCTTTTCAGGGATGCTGGTGCCACCTCACCAATGCATTTCTTATCACTTTGTCCATGTGCCTACCTCGGTGCCCCCATTAAGAAAGCACAACCACTTTACTGTTCGCTGCAGTAGTATCTGCGAAATAGGAGATCAGGTGTTTGATCCGCTAATGACAGGGTTTTCCCCCTGGTGCACATTAAAATAAGTAACTATTAATATAAAAATTTCCATCCACGTATCACTGAAATTGCCCTACATACATATGAACCTTGGAGAAGCGCTACAGTAGCCAATAGGGAGACATTTAGGAAGTAGGAAAACCCTCCAGCCACCTGCACACCTGTGGGTCCCGATGCTGCTGAGCACCTGTGACCTCAGAAGTGGTCACTTCAGTCACCCCTGGGCCTGTCATGCACTGCAGTGTGCACCAGACTTGAGCACAGATTTGCCCCTTGACTGGCTTTAGGATGAGGGCAGGTTCTTAAATCCATCTGTCTCTCAGCTCCTTTATCCTTTAATTTAAAGGGCTTATAGAAAGAATAACTGTTTCTTCTTATTTCTCAGAAACACAACACATATCCAGCTGAAAATCAAATGCAGAAACCTTTTAATTCTGTGCAAGGAAAAATATCCTAGATAAGTCCATGTTTTTTATAGCAATAGAGACAATCTTATCCTGACTCATTCCTTATCAAAAATAGACTATGGTTACATTTTTTTCTCCATAGATGCAAACAACCTCATCTATTTTGACATCAAAAAAGGCAAAAAGACACAACACAAATTCTGAGGACAGAGATGGAAACACTATGATTTTCAATTTTTTAATTTTATAGTTTGTTTTGTTTTTGTTTGTTTCACTGTTGTGTGTCTACCTTGCAAGAGCCCACAGAGATAAGGGACACTATCTGCAGCCTAATTTTAAACAGGAGAGGGATTAAACACTAAATATACAAAAATAAAACTTTTAGCTTACTTATAAAACTAGGAAGAATTTTGCTGAAACATGTCAGTTAAACTGGTCTGCAAAATAACAAATATTTTGAACATTGTGTACACTACCAAAAGAGCTAGTCAGGATATGGAAATTTTCAAGTCATAATCCACTGGACAGACAAGAAACAAGTCACTTCTTAAACTGAAGTCAGAAGAGTACTGTAAAAGTAAAAATATTGCTGCTGTTCTCAGAAACCTACTGATAAGCCCTACAAGTTCTGAACGCCTTTTCAATAAAATGAACCATGATTCCTGGGCAAGCTCCTTACTTAAGTAGCAAGTAACTTTTGAAGCTGGACTTCTCAATCTGTAGACAGAAGCAAGTTGTATTGGCAGCACTGCTCCGTTTTGAAAATCATGTCCGGAATGGAAGACAGTCCAGCAGTTACCTTCTTTCGCGCAACATTGCTTGTGGAGCTACGAGTCTGCAAGTCTGAGCAGGTACAACTCTCAGCTGCTAAACCAGAAACAGATTAAGGGAACGAGAAGGAAGTGAAGGCAAACGTTTCGGTTTACAGATGCTATTCTGGATAAAATATCAAGGGTTTGTGGAGTAGAAATGGACAATATGCAAAAATGAGATAACCAGACATCAGGAATTTTGGGAATTTAAGATGCATGTACCACAACTGAACAGAGCTTTCTACATGTGGCTGCAGGAGATTCTGCTCGGGATCACTTCATTTGGAACTCACTTCTGAGCAGCACCCCTAGACATTCCTATTCCTGGCACATCTAAACTCCTGAATAATCATAACTGTTACAATGATGCCTCTGACACCTCCAAGATTCTGTAGGTTCTTCCAAATCCAAGAAAGGTCATGTAATGCCTGGTATTATTTTGGCGTTGGCCTCTAATAATTATTTAAAAATTGGTAATCCATATTTGGGCTCGATGATGGCTGTCTCTATTAATTGTATTGTTTTATTAACTAGATCATCTCTTTCTTCCAATAAGATTAGTGGTGAGAGCTTATTGTACAACCAAAACCAAAATGGGGGCAATCGGTTCTTGGAATCTAATCACTCACGATGAAATATCCCACTGACTCTGATGCAAGATCAGCAGAGGGTTTCAATGCAACCTTCACCCCACAGAGTTACATTCTCACGAAGACCACATAACCAAACCCTTAGATATTTGCAGATCAGAATCACTTTTCTTCTAGCTAGCTCTCTACTTGCTGCCTCTCTTCTCCAAGCATTTGCCCAACTTTGGTTGGCTGCTGAGTTCCAGCGGAAGAATTCCCATTCTGCCTCCCGGCCTCTCCTTTAGGGACTTGGCAATGGAAGGCAGTGCAGTTCTTTCTGGCCATCTGCTGGGCATGGGACCCCAGGCTTCTTGGGGTAAGTTCGACTGGCAATTTTAAAGAACTCTTCTGCAGCATCAAGAGCAATGAGACGGTCCTGCCAAAAGATTAAAACAAAAATGTTTTTTCCCCATGATGATGGGAAAACCAATCCCATCTAACAACAGTACCCACCCTAGAAATCACACTGAGCGAGTAAAACACATATTAAATGTTTCTTGACAAATTTAGAGACACTCCTTCATCCTTTCCTCACAATACCCAACAACCATCCCACCACTCTTCAAGTCCTTTCAAATTCTTTTTTCCATCTTAGGTAATATAAACAGTATTTCTCACATTTCTTTGACCTACACCCAAATGGTTCAAAAAGCTAACTGTGCAGCAGACCTGGATGAAAAGTACAGATTCTCAAACCACAAGCAAAACCTCAGTGGGTACGAGCACAGTCCAGAGATCTGAATTTTGTGAAGGTCTCCAGGTAACTGGATGTTTCTGGCCACAGGAAACCAGTGCCTAAGATTGCTGGTGGTATTGGAATGCTGAGTATAGGAAATCACAGAAAAGCAAAAATTTAAAGCAAAATAAGGGCAGATGAAAAAATGCAACCACCTACCACAACGAAGAGGTATCTCTCCGAGAGCTCCCAGCTGGTTGGAAAAATATTGGTTTCTTCAGCCAGTTTTAACAGTATCTCCCGAGCTTTCCTTGTGTTTTTAGAATCACTGATGGTGCTCAGTTTAGTCACTGACAACAAAGAGTCTGCTTCCTTTTGAAAACCTAAGGCAAAAAAAAAAAAATGTATCTCTCCTTAAAAGTAGTCACAGGAAAATGCCTGTGCTGTAGCATGGTCCCTGCAGGAGGCTCAGAAGGGACCCAGAGTGGATTCTGAACACACATCGGAAAGCTCAAGCCCAGGCACCGTTCCTGGGGCTGCTTCCCAGCTCAGTGTGATTGGCAGTCTTTAATTAAAATTCGTTTGATGTTTCCTCTTCATTAATTTCCCTTGGCTGCCTTTCCTTCAGAGCTGAGTCTCAGATAATCACCCACTGACTGCTTGCTGCTGTTCTTTTTTCCAACTGAAAACCTCCAACTCCCCATTCTACACCTCCTCCGCTGTCCCCAGAATTCCTACGGCCTTTGTGGCTTGGGGGCCTAGAGGCCCCTACTTCTCCACACCCCAGATTCCCTTCCCCGGGACACCATGTTTAGCTGGTTAAAATACTTACCCAATGGTGTATAAAAGACTCATACATTTAAACCTGCCTGGAATAACTTACATTGTAAAAAGGAGACTATTAAATTACAGCAATATTGGGTGAGTAAAGAGGGCAGAGGTTCATCCCATCCCATTGTATCTCCCCTAAAGCAATAGGGGCCAGCAACTTGGCATGCCACTTTTCAAAAGATGATGCCAAGGTGACGTGTTCTCTTTCCAAGCTGAAGGACTAAGGACTTCAAAACTGATCTCCACTTTTTAAACATTAAAATAAGCTTATTTTATAATGCGAGGGCCATGTTTATTGTATCACAGCTCCAGCAGAATTAAGAAAAACCATTACCCAATATCTACTCTAACGCTGCAGGTGTTTCTCCCACTTTGAAGTTTTTCTGCCTTCTAGCCTTTCTGAAAATCTACACCGAATTTACACTCTCTTACAGAGTGTTTCTCCCAACCTGCCTCATCTGATAAAGCTATTACCTAAGTGGCCACTTTTATCTAATTCAGTCAATGTACACTGCCAAATACATACAATGGTGCCCATATGATCCCACCGCCCTGTGTTACTGAGGACAGATGGAGCAAATCATGGCACAATATACCCTCAAGACATGGGCGGGTGGTAACAGAAATATCGCGTGTTTATGCTTGAGGATATAAGGAGACAGGACTGGGAACATGATTAGTACACAGTGGCCTAATTGCTCAGTTGCTGGCAGGTCTTTTATAAAAACCATGGTGGAGAATGTGAAGAGGAAGAATGATCACAACTATTATTTTGACCATTTCTGGTCACTTTCACACTCACCTAACTCTTCTAAAATGCGTTTCCATCTATTCCTCACTTCCCTTCGGATCTGCCGCAGGACATGGATGTCATAAGTGAGCTTTTGCCACTCCTGTAGGAAAATAAAATTCAGTTTTATTCTTACTCTTTAGCCTGAGCCTCAATCTAATTCCCAAACTTAAGCTATTTAAACATGTGGTTCCCTCTTTACTAATCTTCAAAGCTTATCTGAAAGAAGAGGAAATGGGTGAGATGGAGGCAACGGCTACCGTCTCTGGAAAGCCTGCTAAGTACCAGGTGATAGAACACACTGCATAAATTATCCTAATTAAACTTCACATTACCTATTCCCTCGACTGCCTGCCGTGATCTCACTTGTGAAGGGGAATAACAATAGTGAATATTCGACTTAAGACTGTCATGTAAAAGCACAATATACAGTGAGCACCTAACAAAAATCCATGTATTACTAAAGCCATTTTATAGATGAAGAAACTGAGGCCCCAAGAGGTTAACTGGCTAGTCCAATTTCATACAGCAAATAGGTATCAGAATTGGTATTTGAATCCAAGTCTGACTCCAAAGTTCATGACAAAAATGGCATACAAAGAATCTCTGTCTTCTTTGTAATAAAAATAAAGCACACCTGGGAATCCCAAGTTTCTTGATTCCCAGCCAGTCTTTTCTTCATCATAGCTCAGGATCACTCTTTTTATGTTCCCATGATAGAATGAATCTTTCAAACACTCTGTAGCACTATTAAAAGGGTTATCATTCTGAAAACTTCAACCGTATGGGTAGTAGGCCATCATGGTGGTTCCAAAACAGAACATAAATCTTTCAGGAGCATTAGAATCTTCATTGAGTTAAGCATTTCTTTTAAATGTCATGGCAATTTGTTTATAAGGAGACTTATCTTTATGGAACATTTTATAGAGTATACCTTTTCCTCTTTGCAAAAACATTAACCACACAACTACCTTAATGCACAGCTTAAAAAAACATCATTCTGAATGTTCAATTTATGACTCAACTGTATGCTATTTTGACTCCTCTAGCTGAAAATGTTTGAATGATGCCAATATTTCCCTACAGAGTTGCTTCTAAGGCTTGCCTTGCTCGTTGCTAATCAACTTTCATGACTGGTTAAAAGAAATCAATTTAGCTCTCATTCACAAATGTTTATAGATATCACTTCGAAAAACTAGCATAATCAAGTGTGTTTTGTTATGATGGCATTTTGGACCTTATATCTGAGGATATGCCATCAAAAGGACATGGAGTTTCAGCTATTTTCTAGAAGTCAGTAAGTGGTGAATTTGAGAACACTTTCTTGGTTTTTTTCTTTGACTGAAGGTGTGTATATACATGTATGTCCATGAGTGTGTGGTGACTGGTGTCAGGAAGAAAATCTGTGACCCTGGAAGAAAGCAGAGTTAACTGAGTCATCTCAGAAATGTGCAACCCTGACCTCATCTGTAGCATCATGTTGAAGCACAGCTACATAATCCCCCCAGTCTGTATAAGACATGGGGGGAAAAACTCAAATAGTGTTTTCATTGGCAGGGCTTTCCTGTACTAACTTGACCATTCAGTACATTGCACCTTGGAAAAGTGCGTTGGTGTTAGAGCCACAATGCCTGGGTGCAGATGCAGCTCCCACTCTCTATGAACAGCCTGACTTCAGGCAAGTTCATAACCTTGCTGTGTACCATGGCCTCACCTGCAGCCCAGGGATAATACTACCTACCTCATTGGCTTAACATGAGGATCAAATGTGTTAACACACGCCCTGAAAATGGAAAGTGGTGCACATGCTCCTCCAAAGCAACATAGACACGATTCAGAAATAATTGCCCAAAACTCAGGATGATTTCCGTTATGAGAATTGAGGACATTAAACATTATATTCTGCAGAACCTCATTTCTGAGTACCTCCAAAAGAGAAATTTCTCTGCCCTTTGCATCAGGTATTTTTACTTTTCCTAAAAACTTGTCATCACTTTGGACATCATGAATTTTATAAGTGATCAGTTGCCACACTTAGCTGAAAATGTAGAGTCCGTTCATGGAAAATCTATAGGATTTAGTAAACATTTTTGAATTACCAAAAATCTTACTACTTTTTATGTCTTCATTGATGTCTTTGTTTTCTTTCTCATCTTCTATTCTAGGTTTGTGCTATGTTTTCATGTCAGTTGCTTTAAGTCCTTTTTGATAAAAAGAAAACCATAGATAAATAAAATACTACACAGAGAAATGCTGTGATTATTCTTAATGAAAATGAACTCCTTGCTGGACTAAATAAAAAGTGACCAGACTCTTAATCACACGTGACTGGAGACCCACACGATCCACAGAGGAATGGCTGCAGTTACACACCTCGAATTATGTAACAAACCACTAGGTGGCTTCATTGGCTTGTGATTAAAGGTCTCTGCCAATTTTTCTTTTAGCTCCTTAGGCTGATCCCCCAGAACCTGTTTCCTTAGTTAAGAAGTGCAAGGAAATCTCTGTTTTCTCAGAGACCCATTCATCACTGGATCATCCAGGCTTCAGACTTCTTAACCTTTCTCTTCTTGCTGTCCATCTATCAGTTATTTTCTATTTCTAAATGCCAACACTGTTATGCAGCTTCATTGAGTTTCAGTGTCTGTTCCTCTGATAGTGTTTGATGGAGAAGCAAGAATGTGACATTTCAAAATCTGCTAAGGATGGACCCCACAAATGACACACTGAATGACTTGTACATGCTAAGAGTTGTGTTAAGATAACTGGAATGAAACTATACATTTCATATATCCTTACTATTACTGTCTTCTTTTGACAGAATAGCCAGTAATAATCATATATGAAAGTATCTGGAAGTTTTGTGGAAAATTTAGCTCCAAAGCCGGTAGAAGTGTGGGATTTTTTGATAAAATAAGAATAGGCTTTTGATAAAATAAATGGCAAGAGGGGAATGTGAATTCCTCTTTCACACATGACCCCAAAGAACAGAATCTAAAAGCAGCAAATGATAATGGTGATGTACAAAATCTTACCCCCAATTAAAGAAACTAACACAACTATCCCCTAGTATTAGAGGAAAACAAGTCTGTGATGTACTTCTACAACGTTTAATGTAACAATTTTTTAGACAAATAATTTGAAAACAACAAAGATCAGTTAAACATTCTTCACAAAGAAGTTGAAACTCGAATCTCCTAGACATCAAAAGTTAAAGTCTTATTTTCTAAAGTGATCATCTGTGTGTTTTCTCAGAATTTCAGAAATAATATGTTGTGTTCATTGAGAGGCTCTGGCTGGGAATTTTAACAATGAGTACATTAACAAAGGTGTAATAAAAGAAATAGTGCAGAATCGTTTCCCAAGATACCTGGGAACCAAGTCAAACTGAAACCTATGGGCTTGAAAACGAGTAACTGAAGATGCTTATGGCTGTATTCTTGAGGTTTTTCCTCTTCTCTAGCTGTGGGCCAAATCAGATTAGAGCTACTAGATAAGAAAGTTGAGGCAACAACACGAAAGGCAGAACAAGCTCAGACTCCTGCAACCATCAGCAGCTAGTTCTCCAGCTTGATCCTACGAGCTGGCCTTGACCTTGAGTTCTGATTTAAGCTCCTGGGGTCATTTTCTCTTGCGCAAAATTGAAACACTTTATTCTTATCTATGTTATGTCATCGTGAGGCTGTGGATAAACCGACAGTTAAAATGTACTTATTTCTTGTGAAATAGGTGATTATACATTTAAAGACATGTAACAATTAGTTACATGTTTTTAAAACATCTTAAACTCTTAGGAACAACTTCAAAAGCGATTAATTTATTTCTAATTATTAAAATAATAGAATCACATATAAAGAAAAATTCAAAGAGAACAGAAGGGTAAAAAAACTGAAACTTTGCTTTTCCCATTCTCTTTTCCTTCACTTTTTTCTCAGAAGTAGCTACTTCCATTGAACATTTCTTCTGCCTCCAGCCGCCTCCCACTCTCCCTTTCTTCTTCGTCCTTATACACAACCTCGTCCTTCTCCTCTGGTATCTACCTCTATAACTCCAAATATTAGGCTTACATTTCCAGTTTCTCACATATCAACTTTAACTTCCTTTATACTCTCTGCTATGGAAAACAGTATGTTAGCTCTTCTGCTTTTCTCTCTGTAATTGCAAGGAAGGCAGGAAAAATGGGGGAACAGATTAGTAGTAATATTTGCACCAATCATGATGTATCTTCTGGGACTGGCACCTCACCGTTCCAAACTTAAGCTGGGTTCTGTTTGTGATATGGACACTGGGGCACCTGATGTGTCTGCAACCAGTATTTCTGCCACTGGCAGAAATTTGGTGTTTGCTTTCCCAACATCCCTATTCCCCTTTCCCCATCAATCTGTCAAGTTCACCCACATTTTCCCTTGGGGAACAATTACATTCCCAGCTCTAAGAAGGGGCTTGGGTTGGCTTAAGCCAGTATACTCATTAACTCCATGAACCTGAGTCATCAGCATATCCCACTGGCTTGGGGATGGAAATATAACCCAACTCAATCCAAGAAGATGCAAATCCTCCAGGCTTCTGGGAGCAATCAGTAGTGGTGTTCCCTCTTGCTCTGGACAATGTGGTGTGAGGGTACAAAATCTAGAACTTTTCCCATAACTTTTACTACCCTGAGAAGAGCCAGCCTAAGAAGAAATCAACACTCAAAGGAAAACAAAGATACAAGAATCACAGAGATACATTGCCTAAGGACATCCTGGACCGCAGAGTCAAGTCTCTTCTGAAGTCAGTCCTACTTCTGGAATTCTCATTAAGCCAATTCCATTTAGGTTTAGACAACTAGAGGTCTTTTTCTGGTCCTTATATCTGAAAGATTTATGTTACAAAAGCCACTCATTGATCATACTAAAAGGAAGCTGTAAATACCACACAAAATATTAGTCTAATGTTTTCCTACCTCTAGCCCCTGGGGGAAAATGCTCAGCATATAGACCTGTTTAGCTGGAGGTGGACACGGCGTACAGAGATGCAATGTTAATCTGCCTGGATCCCAATCTTTCTGTCCAGGAGTGACATAAGCAAACAATATGATATAAGCATCCTTTTCTAGATCCA